GTTATGAAATAATTAATTACAAAACTAGTAACAATGTGTTTTAAAAGTTTATAATGAAAATGAAGAAAACTATTAAACAATATTATTAACATATTATCAAATTTTACGTTAAACTCAACGAAAATGTCGTACAAACATTTGATCTTATGGAGACTAAGCCTTATCTCGTGCACAAATTTTCTGTGTATGGAATAAGTAAAGAATAAAAAACTTGTGCACGAAAGAAAAGGCTTCAGAAGTTTCTTTCTTAATTTTTCAAATATTTGTATAGCAGTTTCATTACATTTGACACAAAATTTGATGGCATAACGTTTAATATGTTCCCATCCCATTTTCGTAATGCACTTCCAAAGCACACTGTTATTAGTTTTGCAATTACTTGTTACACAACTAATAAACAAAAATACACATAATCCTGTTTAAAAGTACTTAAAATTAATTAGTTATTTAAGTTTAGTTATTTTAAGAGTACCCAATCTCCTTTCAACATAAATTTTAAAAAATCAGTCTCATTATTTTCAGAACAGATCATATATATACATATTTGATATTAATTCAAATTGATATATATTTAAAAATATAAGATATTTAAAACAAGAAGATTTTTCGCAGATATCTTGAGACCGCGAGATTTTCTATTAAAAGACTACGTCTCAACTTAAAAATAACATAGAAAAATACATATATACAAACGATAAAGTATACGATAAAACCGCTGTCGATTATTATCTAATCGTTTCAATAGCGATTACAATTGAAATATGAACAAAGCAAGCATTGATTTGCATCTATACGTTGTCTACGATGATTCAACTCAATGTCGAATGTGATAAATCAAAGGCAAAAGAATACATCCGCAGGATGTTCTAGAAAGTTTATACAGCTACAAAGTCATTCGTTTACAAAAATATCGCATAATAATTATCGCACCATTAATTGTCTTGTTACATGAATACTTTGAACATTGAAATTTTTATCATTCTTTCAGAAATTGAATAAAAGATATAATTTTGCCAATAAGCATTAAAAACATTTACTGTCTGTTTTCATTTACAAAAGCGCTACCAAGTACTTTTCGCAACTAATGTTTTTCTTTAACGGTCACGTTGCTCAACGTATAATTAACACGAGTTATTTGCGTAATCAATGTAAGTGACGGTACTCACTTCCTTGCTTTTTCTATAAGCGCGCTGAATGGATTCTCCCAAGTGTACATCTTGATTGCTTGGATTCCGCTGATAATTTCATTTGTTAATCGCACCCTCTCGTCAGTCCTAATGGCGGTTCTTAATCTCAGCTCCGACGACTTCTTGCCCAACCATGCTGAGGAATTCCGAGAACAAGACGTGAAACGCGATTAATTTTCGATGATACGCTAACGAGATTTGTTAATTGAATAGAAAAAAGGTTCAGTAATTAGGAATTTAGTGATAAATATAGAAACTTGGAAATGTAACAATAAAATTTAAAAAAAATTGGAAACAGAATTTTTTTTAATAAAAAATAATTTTTTAATTTAATTTATAAAAAAAAATGTTTTTAAATCACAATTCAGAGAAAAACAGAATTTCAAGATTTTAGATTAAAATTTATTGAAACGAATTATTTGTTATATATTGTTATTAATAATCACTCATTAAAATGGATTATTTGCTAATTATACTATTTATTAAATTTACTATTTATTAAAATTTAATTATTGGTTGATTATTTTTTACTAAAATTAATTTTTTAAAAATTCTAAAAGAAACAAAAGAAAATTAAGATTCCAAACGTTAGCAATTTAATTAAAGCAAAAAGATGCGCGATTTTTATTAGAAAAATTACTTCTAAATTAAACGTTCTTCAACATACATATGCATATCAAGTCACTTTCAACTCGATCACTCAATTACTTCTATTATTAGAAACAATTAGAGTAATTACTTTCTTACCTTGTAAAGGGATGAACATCAGCAGAGAAGCAACACCGATAATAGACGACACTCCCACGTCGAGTACATGGTACATAACGTACGTGATGATGATGGTTTCCAAGGGCCCGAGCCACAAATAATGGAGAAATATAATACTGACGTCAAATCTATTGACGTCATTGGACAACAAATTTACTGCCTGGCCGATTGTTGTCTCACCCAGTGCGGTTCGAGTCATTTTCAATGTCTTGCGATAAATTAGCGAGCAGCAGGCCACGCGGACCTTCATGCCCATATGTAAGATACCCATCATGTACGGATGTATGACAAACACATTGAGAGCAGAGCATAAAATGACACCGACGGCGCATCCATACGCATAGGACTTGTCGACGTCCATGGTGTTAAAGTAGAGTAACATTTGGCCCACCAACAACGGTTGCATCACTCTGCATCACAAAAGAAAATTCGTCAAGTCATGCAAGAGATTTGAATGAGATTGTCATTTATTTAGAAATTGATATTAATAAATTTATTATGAAATTAATTCATATTATGTTATGGGTAATGTGAAATACTCAATATAATTAATTAGATTTCAGAGGAGACTTTATGAAAAGAAAACTGGATCAAATGGCCAATTACTCGTATTTTTTAAATTAATTTAAGGACACATTAGAGATAAACCAGAAAATAAAAATAATTTATTAAATTTATTCGGGAATTTAATAATAAAGCGATATAATAAAACGGTTCTCTTTTCTGTGTTAAAGTTATGATAGATAAATAGCATCATTTTATGCAATGATAAGAGGATTTTAGTGGGCGGTTTCAAGGACAATAGTAGTGAATCAACGGATCAATAAACACAATATTACTCTATGTACATGCAGCATCTAAAAGAGATATTTATATTATTCTGGTAATTCCTGATAAACTCCAAGTTGATTTTTTATAAAATCAAGAATTTTAATTTATAAACGATTGCATCATAAAAAAAAGTTTCTGCAAAAGAAGGAACTTTGTTACAACTATAATTTTTGTTCAATAATATTTAATTTAATTTGAACATTCGAACAAATAATGAAGTTAAATTAGATAATTTAAGAAATTCGTAAAATAGGATTTGTTTAACAATTTAGATGCTAAAATATAAATCTCAATGAAAATTAAAAATTTGTGAATTCTAATTCGCTTTTAATTATTCATAATTGCATCCCTTCGTGAAATTCTGAACTTACAATTCTACAAATATTTAATTTAGTCGAGTAAATAATCTTTACTTGGTTAATTCATTAGTCAATTCAAAAACTATCATGGAAAAGACTCGCTGATAAAGACTGATCTGTGAAGAATTTAATTCCACAGAAATCTTCAAAGTGTTTCCAATGACTTGCATCGCTTTTTGTACTCAAGACACCATCAATGCAGGCAATATAAAAAATTAAGATGAGCTTTTACAAGAGGATTTCTAGGTGAGAAGTGAGGGAGATTGTACCTGAGCAAGATCTCCATAACGGCCATAAAAAGGCCATACAGTAGAGTCGTCAAACCAAAACACCTGATGAGGACTCTCATCAAGCTGGGCTCCTTGACCTTCTTCTGCGACCCGCTCTTCGCGACCTGCTCCAGCCGACGCTGGTACGCCTCGCATTCTTCTTCCCAGGCCTTCGCTATTTTAACACCAAGAATACCACTTGTATGCTCTTTAAGCGGTGTGTACAAATCAGTTACTTCAAGATCTCGGCGATAACCCACCCAGAAAATGCGTAGGATCCAACTGCGAAGAAGAAAAGCAAAGCAAACACGTTTTATTCGCAAGAACTATGCGCAATTCATCCAATTCTTGAATTACGCCTTTTTCGTTGAGATATTATTCTCTTCTTTTATTTTTCGAAATATCGCTTTATGTGTCATTTTATAAAATTGATCAGCATCCCTCTTTCTAATTTCGAATAGATAAAAACCACGTGATGCCAACATTTAACGCAATCAAATAGAATCCAAGATAACAATCGATATTTTTCTTCTCGCAAAACTCGGCGTCAAAATAAAAATTCGCCTTAAAATTTAAAATTTAAAATTATCGGACAATGCGTTTAAAATAAAAAATGTTACGATATTAAACTAACTTAGACAAATAATGTTAGACAATTGTAATTAATATCAAAATATCTCTTAATATGTATTGAATTTATATATAGTGCAAATGCGAAGTTGTTGGATTTTGTAAAATAATCCTTAATAGTTTGACCAGAAAGATACGACTAGCGAAAATAAATATTCGGATTTAAATCATGATTCATCTTTCCGAGGATAAGAATTCAAAAATTTGAATGCAAAAATTTTTTTGCAAATCGTGTATGATTTTTGCTGTCTGTTATGTAAATAAAATATTAATCAAGTTTGCTATAAAACAACATGATTCAAAAAACAAAGAAAATGAATTTGGACTTTGAATCAATGAAATTTAATAATATTGATTTAAAATACAATTTTGAAATAATAACTGATTATAGAGAAACAAAATTATTTTCAAAGCATGTTTTTTTTTAAATTTATTCAACATATTAATATCTTTATAATATGATGTTTGATAGTAGCATCAAATTATTAAAATTGCTTGTTAATTTATTTCGCGATTACTAGAGTAATTTTAATTGCGTTTATAAGTTCGGAAAAACAATTCGGCGCGTAGTTTAAAAAGACTACAATATGGTATATATGCAAGTACATACATATATATGTATATTCAAGATTGAATTATTTAAAGCAATGAAGATTCAGCTTCGACCGTAGTAGGCATTTTAAATTTTTAGTATTGATTGTATTTTTTTTTATATTTCATTTTTTACAAACAAAAATGTTGTAGAAAACAAGGGATATGCAAACGTTACCGGGCAATAAAGATCAAGTGCTCGAAGATAAAAATTGAGAGATTATCTACAAAATAATTACTAAGAAATTATTTATCTATAAAGCGATCCGAGATGATTCTGACATTATTTATAGATTCATATCTACGACTTATTTATCTTCGATAAATCACGTCCACAAAATCTATTTATCATCCAAGAATAATCTGATCTAATATCTGAGACAACTGAATACATGTATTTATTCCATATCTGTCTGTCTATCTATTATGATTTTTCCGGAAGGTAACTATTCTAAGAAAGTGCATTGTAATCAAAGTGTAAAATAACATTAATTGATCCTTCACATTTTAATCGAGTATTTTGTACACTTACAGTATAAAAAATTTGTTGATTAATAAATCAAAAAATACGAAAGCTTATCGAAGTATAAAATCAAGTAAATCGACAAAAATGTGGCCGGAATAATTCTAATTAAATTCATCGGAATTTGATTCTAGATTCCATTTTTAAAGTTTCCGAAGATCGTTTTAATTACTTTTCAAGTATCCATTCGTTTACTAGACTACCTTCTATTGTTTTTAAAAAAAGATTACGTTCTCGTCTAGTCGAGATTTGTTAATTTGATTTGATATGTTGATTACATGTAGTAACATGTATTTAGTAAGGCCTTCTGGCTCAAATGTAAAAAAAATGATATAAAAACAAATATTTTTATATTTTAATATAAATCTAGACCTTTAATTAATTCATTATTCTAAAAATGTATTGAAATAAAATGGCAATTATATTACAACAAATAAAGTGTTATTTTGTTTTATCACCCTTTTTGGATTGGAAATTTACTACGCAGTTTCATGAAGCATAATTAATATATCATTATTATTATATCACGAATTAAATTAATAAATCTAAATACAAGCATCATAGACAAGTGAACATCAGTAAAATAATTAAGATGATCGAGAAAAAAGAAGTAGAATTTAAAATTAAATTCCAATGATTTCGATCAAAAATTAATTTCCGGAAACTTTTTAATTTTTTACTATACGTACTAAGTCATTGCATTCTGTGGATTCCTTTTTGGATCGTATTCCTTTTATCCTCAATTTTATCTTTATTAACTAAATCTACCTATATCGCAAATGACTGATGCTTTTCATACTCACGAGAACGTCAAGATACTGAAGATGTTGGCGCCCGCTCTGGGATTCTTTACTTTCTCGTTGTACACCTTTCCATCCATGACGGCGTCGTCTCACAGAAGTCTCTTCTGTAAAGGTACAATGAACCTTCAATAGACACGTAACACATAAATCTCATATATACGCGCGCACATTCATTATTACTGCAATTACATTCCAACGTTACTTGTAGCGAAAGAGAGAAAGAATACGGCGAAGAGACCTCGGCAGTAATTACACTGTGTACCAATTGTGAAGCAACTGCCACACGATCCTAGCCGTTGCCTTTCCTTCCTTCAGAGGAATTACGATTTAATCAAGTCTGCAAAATCTTATCTATGCACATTATGCATGACAAATAGAATAACGTTGCTTGGTCTTCAATATCACCTTATCAGCATATGCTTACGTTTACAATCGGATTATGTGCTTCCACATAATCCGATTGTAAACATAAATTGATCCTGAAGAAGTTTTTTTGTTACTTATCACTCGCGAGTATTACATTGTTGCGCGTTGTTATGCAACTTGTTAGTAGAACTCGAAAAGTAAAGTTGTTAAATTCATAATGTGAAATTGACCCCCAATTTGATTTATTTTTAATCATTTCTATAGGTCGCCACTGCTCCTATATGCTCGATGACTTAATTAAAACAATAGTTAAACAATTTAATTTAAGAAAACGTACTAAATGTCGAAAGTGACTCAAATCTCGTTTATTATTTACTAAGTATATTTTAGAGTAACATAGAAATTGATTCAGTTACATTTTGACACACATGAAAGTTAAAATTGACAGAATGTTATTTTTAACTTAAGGAAATAAGTATATACCATTGCTTCTTTAATATTTAATATGAATACTCTGCCTGCTACGGTTTTTGAGAAGAGAAAAGAAAAAGAGAAGATATTGGATACATTCGTACACCTTTCATAATGTAAATCATATAGCCAAAGAGCTCATAAAGCAATATATGGCGTCGACTAATGTGACTCTGAGCAACAATTATTCCAGCCAATTATAGAGAGAATTATAAATACGCGACTTTATTGGCGCATTTGTTTAAATTCTAAATACTTTCTTATATCTTGCTATCGGTGCGATATTAATCACATGAGACATGTTTAATACACAATAAATAAGACAAATATAGTCACGCCAGTGCGGGTATTTAAAATAAACAATGTATCTCATACCTCTCCAAGTGATATATAATATATCTTATAAGATTTGTCATATGTCGTTCTAGTGTGCGGCTGTAAGGCGTTGACATTCTGATTTAATCTACGCCGATTTAATTATAAATTTAATTATAAATTCAACTTTCTCCAAGGCAATTACGATTCAAATTTAAAATCTAATTTAATCGCAATTTTCAGTTCTTTAATTTATTAGCTATAATAAAGTTTCATATGTACAGTAATAACATCGTTTTTAATGCTTTACAGATATAGAACTTGCGGTTATTTACCTAGTATGTATATGTCAGTAGATAAGATACTAGTCTTTATAATTTCTATTTGTACTCGGTAATTGAAGTGGTTTACCTATTTACAAGCAGTTAATGCACTAAAGATTTTTTCTCTTTTATTTTCTCTTTTTCATGTTGAAATTATCATTTAAAGAAATCATGAAGAAACAAGATCCCCCGAATTATTCAAGGATCTTTGGGGATTTCAGGGATTCTATAATTATTGTGTAATGATACATGATAAAAATATACCAGACGCGAGCACTAAAAAAGTATTCATAAAGCGGGCATAAAACAATTTTCAAAAAATTCTGGCTTTATAGTAATTTTTATATTACTTGACATCTCATATTTTATCTTTCTATTAATTACCGTCTTAATCCATAGTAATTATTAATATTGCCTTAACAATCATAATTCAATAATCACGATAATTTCGGCTTGCTAACAAAAAAATCTAAATTTTCCAAAAAATCTAATTAAAAGTTCCTCGTTAAATGAAAATTTTCACGATAAATTAAATGGCTTCATTATAATGATCATAAATTTGCAAGCAAAGATAAAAAAAATTTCTTTGAAGAAATTTATTTGAACACTTTCCCAATATTTACGAATTCTATATGTATTGTGTCAACATAGATGTACATACAAAGTTTTTTTTTCTTTACATATATCTTAATCTGGATATGTGCATATATTCATAAGAAATCAAAGCCATGGAAAATTTAATCTACAAGACAGAAATTTTTGACGGGTCATTAACTGCTCTCGAATGATAATGAATCAACTGCGTAATCAAATATTAAGTAATCGATTAAAGAGACGTTATCTGATCTTTAACCGGTTACAAACACATTTCTCGAATAATAGAAATAATATACGATTATAAATAAGATTATAGTGATATATTTTCATTCAGATATCAAAAAGTGTGAAAAAAATTTCAAGATTTATAATTTCTAATTCTCAATCTTTGTTCCAAGTTTTGAGCACCTCGGGATATATTATTAAAATTATATATATAATTAATGTGAGAAATGTAACTGAATGTATACATAAAACATGATTACTTATGCAATCGATTATATTATATTACAATACAAAATTTTACCTCGAACCGCAGATTAAGTTTTTTTTTACAGATTTCTGAATACTGAAAATGATGCCGCAAGCTAAAAATTCCGGCATCAGGTTTTCAAGACAAATCAGGATGATTTAATAATGAAAATTATCGTCATGTAGTATTCATACCTTACAAAATGCATTTTTTTTTATTTCAATATCTTACTTTTTACTATATTACAAAGGACTTAAAGTATAGAGTTTTTTAAATTAGCAAATTTTCTACTTATGATAAAGTCATGTATAATTTCTAATTTATGATTAGCGATATATATCATACAAGTTT